CTCTCTCTCTCTCTCTCTCTCTCTCACATGCGTGTTCTCAAGACTAAATAACGTGTTCCGACCTTCATCTTCGTCGCGGATTAAGCTATAGTTCCTCCCGTTTCGGCAACAAATCAACAATCGTAATTTTCTTCCTGAACAATCAAAACATTTCATAGGAATTATACAAAAATCATAATAAAATAAATATAAAAATTCTCGCAGTAATTTCCTAAAAGTACTTAAATACATTAAGATATCAACATCCGCGCACTGTCGTCCAAATTACAAGATTAAATTATAGCCGATTACTCCCATCAACCCAGTAGAGACCGATTAAAAGTAACATAACATTCTGAAAACGTTTCTAGGACGTTCCCTGAACATCTTTAGAAGATTAGTATTGTATGGCAACATCAATGTTATAATTTCACACTCAATAATGTAGATATAATGTAACACTTGTGTTACATAACAGTTGCATTGTTGAGTGTAAAGTTATAACATTGATTTTGTGTTCTTATATCTCGTCCTGATGAAGTGAACTGCAATGTTCACGAAACTTTAATATTCCGATAATGAATCTAGACACGAAGATAATCTGCAAAACGCATAGCTTCTGTATAAAAAATATTCGTTGAAACCTTAAAAGTACATCCAGAGAACGTCCTAAAGACATTTTCCAAAACATCCTTGGGATGTTCCCAAGACATCTATAGGATATCCCTCAGATAAAGAGTGCCACAGGTTACTTTTAGTTGGTGTTTACTGGGTTATTTCCGTCAGTTGACTCATTGATCGTGAATACACTGAATTGCCGGAATGGTGAAGGAACACGAAAGACGCGTCTCGCTCTTGATCGCGAGGTATAAATTCTGTCGGAATTCTCGCACCTTGTCGCGTTCGTCGCGCCTGACAATGTGAATCATCCCCAACCGAATCGTCTTCAACGAGGATTGAGGTTTCTCACAAGAGAGAACCCGATGCTTTCGTTGATCCCGCGTTTCTCTCTCTCTCTCTCTCTCTCTCTCTCTCTATCTCTCCATTCCACGGTTTAACACAGAGTCCTTTGAACATTTTCCCTCGAAAAACAGCGCGATGCGAGCGCGCGCGCACTTCCTCTTATATATATATTATCTTATTTATAATTAAACACTGTTATTACAATAATATATATATATATATGTTTACTTTGTACTATATATGATCTTAAACCGACGACCGAGGAGGCCGCTCGCGTCTCTCTTGGTACCGTGGATTAATTCTTCGCGTCGGAAGGGACGCTCGCATCCCTTCGCCCGATCGGGAATCAACACAGGCTCCTTTCCAGGGCGGATGCGAGCCTTTCCTTTGCCGCGTCGAGCCGACTGCCGATTCACCATTTGGGTTTTTCAAATCCAAAGCACGGAGCACTCAAGTCTCCAAACAAGTCTCAGAATTGTGATGCTCGCTTTGAATGACTGTTTATTTGAGACGTCGTATGTGATAAATTAATAATAAATAATCAGAGTAGCGTCGAGATGCTAATTAACGTGCAACGTTAAAGGGGGAAACGTGTATCGGTGTGTAACTCGGATTCCTTAGAGAGGAGATTGTTGCTGTTGTTGCTGTTGTTGCTGCTGTTGCACGAAAGCGGTAACATACCTCGAGTCGCCATGCACTCTAAGGGGATTCGATATAACTTTACAAAATATTACACAATAAACTACACACACACACACACACACACACACACACACACACACTCTCTCTCTCTCTCTCTCTCTCTCTCTCTCTCGATGACGTAACTGCTGTAGCTTTCGAAAGCTATTTCCAAACACATCCGTTCTATCCTAAAATATAATAAATTAAGTAACATGTTGTAACTTCGTCGAACGAACATCGAACGGGCGTTCGCGTGCAAGAAGGAGACGTTCCACTCGCGAGACGAATGATCGCACACCCTATGAACTCGGCAATCGAGCGATTTTTCGTGCTTCTCGGAGAAAACTGATCTCAGGGTATCGAGAGTTCGTCGCTTTTTAAAAAACAATTAATTTGTCGTTGCAAACGCGTACATTTTATGTATTTATTCGTTCTGTTTGAACGAAAAATAATCAAAATACAGTGGCTGTCAAAAGTTTTCGGCAAATGTAATTTTACGACAACCTGTTTTTCAGTTTATATAAGTTAATAAAATTTTTGTTTTAAGATCAATTTAAGAACACAATATTTTAAATACTAGAATATATTAAATACTCGCGCACTAGATTTTTATTCGTAGAAATTGTTTATTGGAGCAATGTGATAAAATTATTCATTGACTGTAAAGTGAAGGTCACTTTTGGCAGCCACTCACCTATATTTTTTCCATTCTTTTTTCTCAATGGTACAAGTTTTTTCTATGGTATTTCTTGGATTGCAAGCATCCGAAGAAATTATTAAAAAAAAACTTTTAATCATCATGGAATCGATAAAGCACGTGTAGTAAATTTATTTTCGTAATCAGTTCGTCTCCCTCGATACTCCTGGATCGCTTTGTCAATTCCTGATTGAATCTCAGTGTTCACTCGCGATTCATTCTGTATGATTAATCCGACTAGCATAAATGATCCTCTCCCGATCGCACAAAAAAGTAGAAGAGCATGATATAAAATGTCGTTCCAAGGAAATCTTGTAGAACCGATCGCTCGCCACATCTCGCGACGCGTCGTCGTGTCGATGCACGTGTACGTGTGTTTATGTGTGTGTACGTGTTATGTGTTGAAGCACAAAAGAATTCTCGCTACGCAGGAGCCACAGACGCGAAGTGCAAGTCGGCTAGAATGCACTTTTCTGCAATCAAACGTCACACCGATTCGTTCTCGCCCGGCTTAGCGAACGCCGCCCCGCCGCTTACGTAATAAAAGTGTGTACGTGTCTGTATGTCTATCTCCATACGTACGTGTGTGTTATTTTTCTTCTTTTTTTTTTAAGTATGTACAATAGCACAGCACAATTGCAGTACGATATCGAGTGCGGCTCGCTAAAGTCTCTCTCTCTCTCGCTCTTTCTTTCGCTTCTCTCTCTCTCTCTCTCACAGGCTCTCACTCATTCTTTCTGTCTCTGTCTCTCGTACACAGCGGTGCAGCCACCCATTTTAAAAATTGCTCTCTCTCTCTTTCTATCTCTCTATCCCTCTGTTCATTCCTTTCCCCACTAAACCTCCCTCCCGCCATCGGTTCGCACAAAAGAGTGTCCACTCTCTGATATACATGTTTATACATACATATATATATCACTTGGCACGTGTACCCTCACACGAAGCCACTTTGAAAATTGGTTCACGTTTCGTCTGACCAACGAGGACACGACGAGCCCGGTCGCGCATTTAGCGCGCCGCTGATTGCGCGATCATCATCGAACCTCACCGCTAACCGTTACTCGTGGAAAAAACGCCGTTCGATCCTTCAAGGGGTTCGGTTTGTTTTTTTTTTTCTTTTAACGATACATGCGTGCTGAGTGCGTAAGAAAGTCGCGTTCTTCCTCTCGATCGCGCTGCGCTCGGTCCACTCCTAATAAACTGAGATAGAAATATGGTTTCACAATTTCGAATTGAATTATCGATAATATGTCCGATGTTGAAGGTTTTGATTCGAACCACTAAGCAGAACAATAAGCCACGATGATGTCAAAATGACGTTAAAATGAATTGTTACCGAAAAGTGATTTTTAGTGGTCATTTTAGAGTCATTGCGACGTCATTTTGATATCATGCAGAACGATTGAAAAGTGACTTTTAACAGTCGTTTTGGAGCCCTGTCGATGTTATTTTGATGTGTTTTACTTGAAACTGAAGAAGGGGCGAGCTCGAGTGCGTCTCGAGAAATCCGCGAGAGGAAGCGCACGACTTTAAGTACACCCTAGTGTAGTATCGGAAATCGCCAGTCATTTATGAACCAGTGAACGAAATAAAATGCACTTAATCTCAAACAAAAGCGTTAACGCACGCAGTAGGATTCAATCGCTGGTGCCACCAAGTCGCTGCTTTAACTCGTGACGTATCTCGATCGGGCATTCGGAGACCCTTCGAACTTTCGCGCTTTACCGTGCGGTAAAGTAAGGGGCAGGGCATAGTCTCGAGGATTAAGAAAAAGTGGAAAACGAGCTTTTCTAAGTATTTACTCGCCTCCGATTGTCAGAGCGCCCTTTCGTGCAGTTTTACTCGACATTCGCCCTCGCGATATCCCACTTAAAGCAGCGACCGATTCTACTCTTAAAAAGAACAAGAAAACAAGGTAACAGGCTAGACTAAACGCCCCGTTTCGGGCGGCGAATAAACTCGACTTCAGCCGCGCGCGACCTGCGCGAAAGGAAGAAAATAAAGAAAATGAAGAAAAACACGGGCGCTTTCGACCACCCTCTCGCACTTCCGGCGCGGAGGGGTGGATTCAGAATTCGAGCTTCTGAATTTTGACTAGAGGTGAGGAACCGCCTTGGTCGCCAGTCTGACGGGGCAGGCGGTTCCTCTTGGAACTTATTACAGTGGACTAGAACGCTAAGAATCGGGCACGAAGCGCCGAGTTTAACGGATTAACTTACGCTAATATGGCAAACTATGGCACGAAGTTTGCAAAGTGACCGAAGTCGAGATACGCGACGAGTCGTTAAAATGCGGGTCTTAAAACTAAGTCCAACAGAGCTCGTCGCGAGAGAGACGGCCCGCTTAATGTGAGAGACAAATTGTGTGTGTGAGAATAATAAATATATAAATACGGAGAACTCTAGTGTGAAAAATTAAGTAGAAATTATTGCATGTAATCGATATCCTCCAGCTCGTTTACTCGGACATCGATTCGTCTCGTTTCTCGACTTCGAACGTCGATTTAGGAGCTTTAACGTGAAACGATCTGTCGATCGTAAATACTCGGGAATGCACTAGCCTAAAAAAAAAAACAGAAACGTAAGATCGTACTTTGGTAGATCTGATTCGGATCGCTTTGCGGGAGTCGTAATGATCGATCGCATTCAGCAGTTAGGACGCTCCTGCTTGACACAGCTCGATCTTAAAAGACAATCGTCGACACGCTCAGCATTCAAGTAAAACGGTGATATTGCAATTCGATTTTTCTAATTTCTGCACGTAAATTAATCTCAGGTGTTTGCAAAGGACGTCTATTCACACAGCACACTTTATTCGAGAGATGTTCTGGAAACGTTCTGAGAACATTCTCTGAACGTCTTTAAGATGTCCTTCAGAGATCTGTGCTGTATAGGTAAATATTTAAAATACTTGGAGTGTTTAAATTTTGCGTTGTTCCAAGTGGATTGTTTATCAATGGCTAAAACACACAGTGTACTTTATTTGAGAACATTCTGAGAACATTCTCTGTACGTCTTTAAGACGTCCTTCAGAGATCTGTGCTGTATGGGTAAATATTTAAATTTTTTTGAGTTTAAATTTGGCTTTGCTCCAAGTTGGTTGTTTATCAATGGCCAAAATTATAATCTCTCCGGTATTTGCGAAGGACGTATATTCACAGAACATACTTTATTTAAGGATCGTTCTAGGAACGTTCTCAGAATATTCTGAACATCTTTAGGACGCCCTTTGGAAATCTGTGCTGTATGGGCGAATATTAAAAATCCACCGAGTTTAAATTTCACTTTGCTTCAAGTGAATTGTTTATCAATGGCCGAACGTCAAAAATTTCATTTTCTCAGGTATTTTTAAAGGGCGTCTAAATATTTAAAATTTTTTCCAAGTTTAAATTCGATTTTGCTCCAAGTCGATTGTCTATCAACGGCCAAATATCAAAAAGCTTAATAAAGTCTCTCGTTTATTTATTCATCGAATAAATAAGATAATTCTGGAAATTTTTGTCGGATTAGTTTTAAATAGCCAATTAATCAGCAATATCTCCGAGATATTAGAGAGATGGACATGACTTATGAAGAGCAGTATAAAATTTGCGAGGCGTGTCGCGCGGAGAGGTCGTTTATAAGGCTCGAGCGTGTCAGCAGGGATACGTCCACGAGGTGATACGCCGCCCTTACGAGAAGGGCAGCTCCTCGTCGGGTGACTCGTCGTGGTACTCCTCGTGGTCGGACGTGTGTCACAAAACGTCGCTCGGTTGGCGCTGGCCGATCCCTATCGTGGGCGACAACTGTTCCTCCTCGACCGCGACCGCCTTCGGATCCTCGTCCTTCCATTTGTCCATGGAGCGGCGTCGGGCGTTCATGAAGAAGTTCCCGACCGTCGTCGGTTCCAGGCCCAATTGCCTCGCGATTGTCACCTGCATCTCCTTCGACGGCCTCTTGGTCTCCTGCGAAGAAACCAAAAATCTGTATATATTCTGCGTATATCAAAATCTTTGTTTTGATACGAATTACTTTTCAGCTTCGCTTATTGCACTTCATATTATTTAGTTATTTTACAAATCCCGCTTGTTTATAGAAATTATATTTGATTCATAATGCAGTTGTTCATGCAATTCGCGGGATTTAATTATAATGAATAATTGTTGCTTTTGATATTTTTATATCAACTTTACATTGAGGATGCTGAGCTCATTGTTGAATCTTATCATTACATTGGACGGGATCAAAGCTTTATACAATACATTATCATTTTGTTCGATTATCAATGAGTAAAAAATTGTAATTTAACTTTTAACAATCGACGAAATGTATCTGACAATAGTATAAATGCAGTTACTTATTAGAACGATATATATTGGATTTATACATTTCTGAAGTTTGCGAATGAAACGAGATTTTTAGAAAATGTATAAAATATGCCAGGAATGGGATTTAATAAAATTATGTTAAATATCACTTAATGGTTTTAATATTATCATATTTTATACGATGTGTCTGTATTATATATAGTAAGATATTCTATTGATTCAATCGCTGCTGAATTAATCTATTCATCTCTATAAAAGATCCACATTCAGATTCAGATTCCAAGGTATAATGTACTCGCAGAAGCCCCTGTGTGCTAATTTCGACTGTGTACCACGTGAAAGTATTGGCTAGCAATAATTGTTACTCCGGCAATCGATACACTCTACCTCAGTAGAGTCACGTTATTGATCGCGCCGTGTTGGGTAAGAAACATCGCGTGGGAAGAAAACGTGGTAGCCCATTTACCACAGGGAACTGTTTATCGTTCACCAATATACTACCGAACATGTGCTGGATTATCGTTAAACATATCGTAAATAATTTTTGGAATATTTCTTTCGATCGCATTTCACAGAAAAAAAAAGGTAAAAATTTGTTATACACGCAAACGATTAATTCACACCGCATGAATACGTAATACTTAAAGAAATATTCAGAGTATTAAAATAGACGGACTTTTTTCAAAAATAGATAAACGAATACGGATTAAGGACGTATCAGGTGTATAGTCTCTGCAAAAAATGACTGGAATTGGAAATTTATACTTTCCGTACAAAAATAAAAGAAATGTACAAGTAGTTTAATAAAGTCAATATTTATATTTAACAATACAATTTTAGTTTAAATGAAGATTTTCTCATTTTACCTTAATTATTTTTTAAATATGTGTCTACTTATTATTGAATTAATTTTTGAAATAATTTTTTAAAATAATTACGCAAGAATATCCAACATGGTGAGCAATGTTGCAAAAAGTTTTGACATTGTACCAATCAGTTTGAGTGTTCTACGTAATCATTTTAATGATCCAACAAAATTATTCAGCTCTATATAATTATACTTCAGCAAAATCGTCTTTCCTGTACAGAAAAATCGATAATCGTTTCCATTTTGTTAAAAAGTACCACATCCTTAAGGAAAGAACATACATATATTTGAACAAACGGATTAATTTGTACCCAAAATCGCACTTTGGGTAGAATATCGTAAAACAACGTTTGGCATCTTGTAAATCGGTGAAAAAGAGATACCTACACGATTTTCTTGCCGTCACTTTCGAAGGGTCTTCTCCCTCGACCAGCCAACCAGCCAGGCAGGCTGGTAGGCAGGCAGGCGGCGATGACGTGACGTATGTATACGCGTACGTACGTTCACGCGAAGCTTGAAACATACACGGGGCCGTGTGCGCGGCACAGTGGCTGTCAAGGAATAATCACGATGCCTCGTCGCGATAGTGTCCCGCATTTCCAACAATTGATGCCGCGCCGTTCTATGCGCGACGCGGCGCGGCGC